GAGGAGAGGGCACTCAAAGGAAGACCCATAACAAGGTGACCAATGCTGAAGTTGTTGGAAACACCCCTTTTAGACGACCTGAAAGATCTCCTAGGGTGCCACTAACAAACATGTTCAGGCTCCTTAAGAAAACACAGTCTGCTAGGAGGCATACCATCGAGACATCTTCAAAGGGAAGAGCCTTAACCGTCTCGGCTCTGGAAAGATGCAAAGCAATATATTCGGCACAAGCAGCGGGATCGAGCAGCCTAATCGGACACTGCCACTACTCCCACAATGCCAGATGAATTCTCAAACCCCTTATCTTTCCAAACATACTAGCTCGACCAGGACTAGCAGAAGTCAAGCTCATCATACTCAAACTCCTATTTAAGTTGTTCAACCATTTCAATATCAGAGCCCCATGAATTTTAATACAATTATGCCGACTAACCCGCCTGTCTTCGGATAGTACGGGAATTATGGCCAGGCATTCTACCAGGCTATGTACCTGGCTGGGCTAGCCGCACAACCTCAACCCTTTGATTGGCAGATGCGTCTGTCAAATCTTGGTGACAAGCCGCCCTTATTTTCTCAAGAAATTCTCAACTCTCCTCAACCAGATAAGGTGAAGATCGTACTTGTGGGTGCCTATGATGGTACAGGCAACCCAGAAGAGCATTTCACCTCGTACAAGAACTTAATGTATCTTCAAAGTGTAGATGATGCCACATGGTGTCGATGCTTCCCGGCCACCTTGAAGGGTGTGGCGTAAGCTTGGTTGAACAACCTTCCAGTCCTGTGCATCAACTATTTCACTACTCTTAGCTTATTGTTTGTTGGAAACTTCTCCTACAATATCTTCTTAAAGAAGACCAGACTTAACCTGGTTACGATCGTCCAAGGGAAAAACAAGGGGTTGCGTTCGTATGTGCATAGATTCAACCAAGAAAAGCCTAAATTCATAAATTTCCGGATGAAATGGCCTAGTAGGAATTTCTCCTGGGATTAAGGCATAATGGTTTGATGTTTGATTTAGTTAGGCAAAAGGTTCGAAATTACGCAAGCGTGTTGCGGGAGGCCGAAGCCTACATCAAAGCATCTAATTTTTGTTCGCTTAAGAAAGCACAACAGCCGGCCAAGGGGGCTAAGAAGAAGCAACCTTCTCAGTAAGACTCAGCCGGGAAGAAAACAGAAGGAAATAAGCGAAAGAAAGTCTGGGTGGACGACTGCCAGCAGACAAAGTACAAAAGGCCAAGGCGTACGAACCTTAATATGAGTATAACAAGGATTGTTACTTAATCTTGATGGAAATCAAAGATTAATTTGAGTTCGAGAAGATCCAACCACTGAGAGGCTCGGCCTAGTACCGTAACAAAAACAAATACTGTCATTACCACAAGGAAATGGGACATGACACGAATGAATGCATCAATTGTTGGGTTTCGGTGAGTCCGACCCACCGTGGAAAGAAACCCGACCTATAACCAAACTCACAATAATTATAACCATAAAGCATAAATAACATATACACAAGACTAAGTAAGAGAATATTACCTTTGTACCGTGCTTCGCTCAATTAATTGAGCTCTTACATCGAAAGCCCTTAGCCCCGCTCACACGAGGACCTCCAACAAAGTCCACCCGCAACAAGAGCACCAAAAGTGGTCTATTGCTTTGGAGTTTGCAAAGCCCGACCTAAACCCGACTAATTAATTGTGTTTAAAGGTTTTCACAATGGTGATGACTTTTTCAACACTCACTCAAGTGCTTTTCCCAATTCCCCAAATTGAGTATTTATAGGAAAATTAAAGAGTGAGAAAATCTCACCCATTAATGTGGGTGATTTGATTTTTCCATTTTATTTTAAATCTAATATAAAATAATAATAATAAAGCTACTAATAAATCAACAAATGGCAAGCTCACATTAGAGATTAGGTAAGGACCATTTAGAGAGTGGGGGGGGGGGGGGGGGGGGAGGGACTAAACATACTCCCCAAGCTCTCCCTAAAAACTTTCACCTACACCCTTAAGCCCACCTTTCAAATTGCGCCAATTAGAACCCACACTTGGGTACCAAGCCTCACAAGTGTGGGTGCATTACTGCTGCCGTACACTCGGCCCAGCAAGCCACGCACTTGCGTGCGGGTTGCTTGGCCCAGGCCTGCTGCTAGCAAGCATGCAAGGCACGCCCATGCTGCTTCTAGCTGCTGCAGGCTGGTGCGCCATGCGTGCTGGCCCTTGCGGCTGGCTGCTTGCCCATGCGCAAACATTGCTGCGGCCAACCTTGCTAGCATAGGTGCGCTATCACGCACCAGCAAGACTTGTCTTGGTGCGCATGCAAGCCGCCATGCTAGACCATATGCCCTAGCACTCGGTTTCCTTGGGGCATTTCGATGCTAGGAATATTTTGGTAATTTCATTGATGTATGAGTATTTTTCTCATGTCGTCTTTTATTATTTTTTATTTGACTTCCGACGCTCAGCTTCGATGCCCCAAGCTCGAATTTCCAACGTTGAAATATTAATTACTCGGGTGACTCATTAATTCCTTCCGAATTAATTTGTTGCTTCGGTTCGTTAGTTGCTTGGGTGTGACCCGAAGGTTTTAGTCAAGATTATGCTGTAATATTAATTATACATTAATATTACTGATCAAAAGTGGCCTCCACCTAGTCTGATCACTTGACCTCATTGACTAATTAGCTTTCTAATAATTCCGAACCCTCTATCAGAATAATACACTTGTTCGAAGGACACCATTCCTTTCATCGATTTTAAAAGGTTGCTAGATAAACTAGCCGAGAAGGGCATGTTGAATTCGTATGTCTTGAAGTAATAATTCACGTATTCTCAGACACACAACAAATCAGAAAAGAAAAAGCAAAATGACAAGGAAGATGATATAACCAAACATAAACCTAGTAATAGGCCAAGTTCTGCTTGAACAATTAGGAATGGGGGAAGTTTGTTACGGCCAAAGTAAGCTATTTTGAAACTTAAGAGGTAGTGAAGGTTATCTAAATTCAACTAAACAAACAAAGTAAATCAATATATTAAACACTATGGACTTAGGATCCACATATTCTTGTAATGGAGGCACACTAATCGGGTTGGAGATTGATTAATTTGAGTATTGCAAGGGAAGATAGACAATGCAATCAAAAGAGCTCAATAAGCTATCTCCTAGAGGTTTAACTAGCGCCAACTATGAAAGACTCTAAATAGGAACGTCACAAACCATGCTCAATTGACAAATGTGAGCTACAAATCAATGGTATTTATCAATGTAGGCACACAATGAAACCTAGCATGACAATCAAAGTTAGCTCATGTTTTACTAATAAAACACATGGACAAAATCAATCAACCAATTTAATTACAATGCTAAACCAATAAAAAAAAACCCCCAATTAGCTATGATCCATCACTCAAACACGCTTCACCTCATCCCTAGCAAGTACACTAATCACAGTCCATGGAAAAAATTAAAATCAAAACGAAACTAATCTACAAATTCATCATCATCATTTCAATCAAACAAATATAATCAACTAGTAAAAAAACAATAGAAATCTAAAGCTAAAGATTGCATTAAATTAAAAGAAATCCTTATCAACTTTGGTAAAATCAAAAGAAAATGTCAATCATCAACCATGAGTTTCTTTCTTTAAAAATGTAACCTAATTCACTAATGAATTCCCTCAAAACTTCTTTCTAAACTTCTACAATCAATTCTCTAATCTACTTATATCACTAAAAATAGATGAAAAATTTATATATAATAAAACTAACAAAGAGAAGTTAGTTATATCGTCCAAAATAGACCCGTAAAGGCGCAACCTTCTTAAAAAGGATGCGCGACCGCGCAAAAGAGACTACGGAACAGGGGGGGCAACAGGCGTGGCCGCGCTAAGGCCACGTGCGCCCGCGCCTTGGAATAAGGCTGCTTCCTTCTCCTTTTACTCGATGCTCCTCGTGCGCTCCACTTGGTGCTCTTGATGAACACAGAGCATTGCAGAACCTAAAACACCTTGACGTTGGGTTCAACACCAGAATTGGTGCACCCATGACATGAATGACCGGCCTAAGGTTACTTGGAACTTGCACATCTCAAAACTTCGGCTTCAAATAGAAGACACTAAGCATCCTAATGAATGCAAAACTCGGGAGGAAACCTCGAGAATCCTTGGACAATGATCTTAACTAGAAAATGAAAGGAAAAAAAATAAAATAAAAGGGAAAAAGACAAAATAAACCAAGAAATGCATGAAAATGGAAAATCTACTAAGGAAAGGGCAAACTAAAGAAATAAAGAGCTAAGGAAAAAGTAATGAATTGAGCTATAAAAGCAATCTAAAATCACCCTAAAAGTGAAAAAAATGAGTGCTATAAATGACATTCATCAACTAACTGCTTCGCTGGATAACCAAGGGTCGCCTGAGCTTGATCCTTAGTAGACATCAGGTCCGGACGTAGCATTCGGATTAGAGGAGCCACATGAACAAAAGGCTCCTCAAACAAAGACTATCAGAGAACATGCTCGCCCTCATTCTTAAAAAACCAAAAGAAGAAGCTCAAAAGAGAGGCTAGGCGCTATTAATGGGATGACCCCATCTTGTACAAAAGAGGAATGAATGTCTTTCTAAGACATTATGTTCCAAATGAGAAGGTGCCAAGTCTGTTTAAAATGTGTCATTCGGATCCTAGCGATGGTCATATGGGTGTTTCTAAAACCGCCACTAAGATTCTTCAAAGTGGTTTGTGGTGGCCTCATCTCTTAAAGGACACATGGGGTTTTGTTAAGACATGTGATCGATGTAAACGTACCGGAAAAATCTCAAAGGGAAATGAAATGCCTCAACAACTAATCCTTTAGTTGGAGGTATTTGATGTTTGGGGAATTGATTTTATGGGACTGTTTTCTTCTTTTAGAAACCAATAGATTCTTATGGCGGTGGATTATGTGTCAAAATGGGTTAAGTTTATTGACTCCCCAACAAAAAAAACAAGTTGGTGATGAAATTATTTAAGAATATCATTTTCCCAAGGTTTGGTGTTCCCAAGGCAGTGATTAGTGACAATGGCTCACATTTTGTGCATAATGCTTTTCGAAAGATGTTGAAGAAGCATGGGGTTCATCAATGTTTTGGCCATCCTTATCATCCTCAAACAAGTGGTCAAGTTGAGGTGTCAATGGAGTTGATTCTTGAGAAGACGATTGCTATAAATAGAAAATATTGGGTGGACAAACTTGATAATGCCTTGTGGGCATATCGAACGACATTTAAGACCCCTATTGGCACCACTCCATATCATCTTGTATATGGAAAGTCTTTCCATCTTCTAATGGAACTTGAACACCGTGGTCTTTGGGAGATCAAGAAAAATCAAATTTGATTTAGCAAGTCTAGAAGAGCAACGATGGTTAGATCTTAAAGATTTAGAAGAGGTTTGCCTTGATGCATATGATTGTGCAAGAACCTACGAAGAGCGTTCTATGGAAGCTCATGACATGCTTATTGAGAAAAAGGTGTTTTGTGTTGGTGACAAGGTCTTCCTCTACAATTCTAAGATGAAATTTTTCCTCGAAATGATCATGTCTAGATGGAGTAGTCCTTTCATAGTGCAAGAAGTCTTTCTTAGTGGAGTTGTGGAAATTTATTCAATGGATTCATTACATCCTTTCAAAATGAATGGCCATAGGCTCAAGATGTATGATGATGGTGTCTTTGTTGGCCTTGTTCAAAAAATGGCTCTCTGTGACCCCCTTGAGAAGGGGTGGAGAACTTCAAGCTAATGACTTTAAACAAGCGCTTCTCGGGAGGTAACCCGACTTTCTAACTTTATTTCCATTTTTCTTTTGATTTTTATTTTTCTCCTTGATTCTTATGAACTAATTTCTTTTCTTTTTTTGTTGGGATTTTATTAGTTTTGAGATGATGGAGGTTTGTTTTCCAACAATCTTGGTAGCAAATTTTGAAGATGAAGTGTCCTTATGCTTATTAGAAGGTTTGAGAAGAATTGAGCTTCAAGATTGTGGGCACATGATGTATGGATGTTGAACCCGCCAAAAATGGGGTTTTGAAACTACCTATTATAGAATCTAATTTTGGCCTTCAATCCCGACAAGAGGTGCTAGGACGATAAATAAAACCATTTATGTGTTGGAATAACGTAAGAATACTTATGAATAACTAATTGAATCAGAAGGACACAAAAAAGACTAGCCTAACCCAAAAACAAATGAAATAAGATCTAATTAACTATGTCCGATCTTAATTAGGCTTAAGCCTGAGGTTAAAACCTAATTATGACGGATTTAGAGGCGCCTAGGTTAAAAATCAATGCTGCTGCAGAGAAATTCATGCGCATATCAATGAGTCGCGCTGGTATGGCGTGCGCAACCTACCCAATTCTGTGCATCACCCAGCGCAACTATAAAATATAAAATCGAATCTTACCATAGTACTGCGTGCAAGATCATTAGTTGTGCTACCCAAAGTAGCGCATCTCAATAACTTGCGCTAAACTGTCGCACCCATAGTACTTGCTATGGTAGAATGCTCAAAACTCGGCCTAAACGCACCCATTCCCTATAAATAGGGGTTTAATACGAGGCTCAAAGAGACAGAAATTAACCTAAAACTCTGGCATAAACTTTGTGAACTTATGAACTATCAAACCGTCAAGCCCTAAACATTTACCCTCTCAATAGTTGTTACTACGGTGGTGGTTCCCGAACAAGAAGGAGTCCATAAGTGTTTTAAACAAAGATCTAGCAAAGAGAAGTGGTGAATTCCCGAGCACTTAGATCAATCACATTATTTTCTTGTTTAAAATAACATTAATTAATTAATTAGTGTTGTTTGATCAATTTAAACAAAATTTTTATTAATTAATTCAACATAATATCTTGCGCTAAATAAAGAATAGAAATGAAAAGTTAATTTTTGATTGATCACTTAAGACGAGGCGAATCTTGTTTATTTTTGTTCCTTTCACAAATATTTATTAAATAAGAATAAAGACTTTTGCAATGTAATTCCTACATGATTAATGCGTGTAAATAAAATCAACTAACTTAGTATTTAGGTATTGCGTTGCATATTTTGTTTGATGAAATTGTAAAAAAGGAAGAGCTAGTAGAGGCCGTACTAGGGCTAAGATAGCGATTCCCCACAAAAGGAAACGTTATGTTCGTACCCACCCTCCTGAACTTATTTCTGGTTCATGTAGACCAATTTGGGCATGGTTAAACTTACAATTTGTGCTAAATATCTCTTGAACTCTACTTGGGGGAAAGGCATCAACAAGGTTTATGAGTTTTCCTAAAACTCATTGGCGACTCCTACTTGTTTCTTACAAAAATGTGTGATGATAGGATCCTTTCTAATTGAAGGTCCCCCAAAAATTCAAAATTCGAATCCTTATACAATTTAACAAGTGTAATGTCCTAGGCTTTTAAAGGGCCATGTGCATTTAAGGAGAAAGATCCCCTACGGTGGGAACACCGTCCTTACATGTGCGACTCCACTTGGGAATTAGAGGTTACAAGATTAATTTTTAGATATGGTCAAAGGTTTCCAACACTAGGTTGCCTATGGGTTGTAAGAGAATTAACTTGGATAATTTCTTGTTAGAGAGCAAGACTTGAACATATAATATCTTCCTTTTTCACAAAGTAAAACCAAACAAGCAACATTGCATCATGCATAATCATAGCACACTATAACCTTTGGGGATTGACTCATTGACTAGGGGTTCACTAGACTTCTATCTCAAAATAAATAACAATTTTCCCACCCATATCGTCAACAAAATGTTGGGAGGGCTATGTCAGTAGTCAACACGTTGAGTGATTTATTTGTGCATCATTCCTTAAGATATGGTACCTTTGGACACCCATGCTTACGACCTTAGAAATGTATTGTGTGAACCTTGGCTTATTGTATGCATATGTGATTACATGATTATGTGACGTGTTTAGGATAGCTTTTGTTATTTCTTTTTAGTTTGATTTAGGTTCTTGGTGAGGGATAATTAGGTCGTTGGACTAACTACCCTCAACCAAACAATATTTATAAACCTACACCTACACTAAACAAGTTTAGTGGTAAGTAGAGGGTCGAACCACGGAGACGACATAAACACTATCAACACCACCACCAATTAAGCTAGGTCAAAGAGATAGGATGGATAGAACAATAAACAAAATGAGATTAATATTAAGTTAAACTAACACCAAGGGAGAGGGTCAAACATGACAATGATCTTAAATAAAGTTAGGCAATGGAAATGAGTTTACATGCAAACCAAATATCTCATATAAGGAAATACCAACAATACCATCTAACCATCTATCGGGGTCAAAAGCTTTCCCAACTTAACACATGCTCATACTATCGTCATAAGCTATGAAAGTTAAGGTTTTTGCATAGAATCGATCACCTAATGGATATCCCTAAGTTACACTATCGTCATAACTTAGTTCAATCCACCCAATTACAACACATGATTGGCCATTCACATGGAGTAATTAGTAAAACATGGTTACAAGGTATATTTAATCACATATAACCAACATTTGTCTAGCCTAATACATTCAAGATTCACCACATGCTATCACCAATCCCTTAGTAAAGGGAATTAGTCACTAATCATGAACAACTAACACAAAACCCAACAAGAAGAACAAAGAGAAGCAATTAAACTAAACAACTACTCTAATCAAGCAAGAAATTAAGAAAGAACAATAAATGAGATAGAGTTTAGATTGCTCATTGAAGTATTGAAAAGGAATCCAAAACAATGTCACTTTACATCTTCATCTTCTTCAATCCACCATTGAAGCTCTTCAGTTTCTCTCTCTAAAATACCCTAAATTACTCTTAATCTACATTACAAAGTATAAAAACAAAGATTAAAACTAAATCTAAGCCTAATTTATGTGAAGATTGATGGAGAGATGTTAGGGTTTAACCCCTCAAAGAGGAGAGAGAAAACCCCTAAAGAAACCCACCATCCAAACATCCAAAAAGAGGAGAGGAAGAAGCGTTTAAAAGACCCGTAGCTGCTCGTGCGCGCCCGCGATATTTGCCTGCGCGCCCGCGCACTGGGATTGGCCTGGCAGCGACATTCATTTTCAAACTGCCATAACTTCTGTTCTAAGAGGCTTCTGTGGGCGTGCAACCTACCGTTGGAAAGATCTTTAAGTCTAGTTTTCAATGCAACTTGAATCACCTCAATCCAATTTTTAGATCAAAAGGTATGGCTAAAAGAGTGAACAAAGGTTAGTTTTGGAGTTCAGGCCGTTGAGCGCCCGCACCTATCTTAGGAGCGCCCGCGCCTATATTAGGAGCGCCCGCGCCTAAGTCGCGCCCAAATCGCGCCTACATTCTGCCTCCAATATTTTCGACCCCAATGTTAGGCACGCCCGCGCTGGGTTTGGCGCTCCCGCGCCATTCTGAAAGCGCGACCCACGCTGTCCTCATGGCCTTGCTTTCTTGCTCCTTAACTTCCTTTGTAGCTCTTCAATTGAAATCCAATTCTCCAAGCTCTTCATTCTCTCAAAATCAACTCCAAAAGCCTACAAAACACGAGGAAAAGCACAAAAACATAATAAAGAGAGAAACGGAGCAAAAGGGGTACAAACAAGGGACAAACGCAGAAAAATACCGCGATTAGAGGATCTAAATAGTGGCATAAATGCCACTTATCAAATTCCCCCACACTTGCCTCTTGCTTGTCCTCAAGCAAGAACAAAAGCAGAAACAAAAAGAAAGAAAAAGGATCTAATAACACTAAAAGGAGAGGGGTGAAAATGAATATACACTAACTCACTTTCGTATGAATCACGGTTGTTTTTAGCGTAAACAACAAGCCATTTAAACCTCAAAGTCGCCTATGAGGACGAGTGTGCTCTCGTAAGGGTTTCCAAAGAGTTTAACCCATAACTCTACACATAAAGCAACACAAACAAGGCAATGCATAGACAAATAAAATAAACACAAACAAAACGTTCTTGGTGGACTTTTTGGAACGAAACAAGCACCAATGAATGCACAAATTTCTAAACAAATAAGGGTATGCACGTTCCAAGATGTTTAGGGTTGAAAGAAACATAGACTAAGCTAAGAATAGAGAACTAAGAGCCGTACAATTCACCTTTCATCCCAAACTAGCTAGCCGCGTTCTCTCCACTAGCTTCAAGTCAACCATTAGGTGGGCTTCTCATGGTTCCTCGAAGGAACCGGAAAAAGATAAAGAAATGAAAACGATGAGAAGGTTATCCCGACGTCTTGGATATGCACTCTCTCTCTATAAGCTTGACAACTATCTTCCTCCATCGATAAAGACTAAACTCTATAGGGTCTAAAAGTCTTTTATTGGTTGTAAGG